AAATCAAGTGTGAACAAATACACTGGCATTCATTTCTACAGGATGGTTTACAATGGATACAATTGGATTAATTCTTTATATTCACTTCTACTCAGATGAATGCATGAAAGGCAAAGAACTCTACACATATATCCCATCGTTTTCTCTCCCATCCTCTACATTAACGATGTCAAACTCAATTTCATTCAGGGCCACATCAGGGTTGTGTTTGACCTCCGGGGGGGAATGGCCAGCTTGACATCACTCATGTCGGGGGCACCTATGGTGGTCCAAGCACTCTGCCAGCGAAAACGTGCTCCCGAGCTTCTCTTTTGGCTGCAATGGCCTCCTGCACCTCTTTGCTGGTGAAAACGGAGCTTGGGAGAGCTGCGGGTGGCCCTTGCAAGCTCCATTTTCGCCGGCAGAGGCACTGTGGGCTGGTTTTTTATTGTCTCTAGGGTAGCCCCATAAGCCAAATCTAAGCACCCTGCAGGCCGGATCTGGCTTGAGTTTGACACCCCTACTCTACACATTCAGTTGGAAGTCCAATTCAGAGTTGTACTCATGTTTGTTAGAATGTAAATAGAGCTCTATAATAAAAGCTGTCCAAGTTGTGCAATTATATTTACGTTCAAGCCATGTATGGACCCATTTTAAATCTGATAGCTGAATGGAAAATCAGGAGAACGAAGATAGTCCCATGTCTACTTTGAAGCCTTGGACACTTTCCACTGAATATCTATAGAGGACATAGGGAATGGTCTTGAAGCACAAGAGGAAGAGTTGCTACCACAGCAACAGCAAGGTAAGTAGGTCTTGAATCTGTAACTGAGCAATAAGAAAGAATGTATCAAGCAAGCCCTTTCCTAGTTCACATGAAGATAAAGTGAGGAAGGAGGAAACACATCCAGATTTGGAGGCCTGTGGTTATAGATGTTACAATAAAAATAGTCCCAAAGGCACTTTTCCAAAAGGCAATTGGACTTTGTTTTCCCTTGGAGACATTTCTCTTTTCATCCAAGAAGCTTCTTCAGTTCTGAAGAAATCCAGTGCCTTTTGAAAAAGTACCTTTGGGACAACTATGACCTGGATGACTGAGAATCTCCATAGACAATAAAAATAGTCCAAACCCATGTGGTATTGATAAATAGATGAGTGTATCTTCTCTTTTTATGTACACTGAGAACATATGGACCAAGACAAATTCCTTGTATGTCCAATCACACTTGGCCAATAAAGAAGGAAGGAAGGAAGGAAGGAAGGAAGGAAGGAAGGAAGGAAGGAAGGAAGGGAGGGAAATAGTGTCAGAGTCTGGTCTACTTTGCAGGGTTCCAGTTCTTCATTTTTTCAACCAAATATGTAGGATCCGATTGATGCCCTGATTTGCAATCTCTTTGTATCTTCATTTCTCCTAAATGCATGTATTTCTGTACTTATTTTTTCTAATATATCAAACTGTACAATGTTCCCTTTGTAATTTCATGATTACATACCACTTCCATCAATATATAAATATTTGCCCATATTTTCCATAAATAATTATGGTTTCACACTCGCTGCTGATAAATAACATCACCATGTGTGTTTTGTGATTGTCAGCTTACTGTATGTTTTGTGCATTGGTTTAAAGAATGCACATTTTTTGTTAATTTTTGAATAAAATGGGAAGTTAACTGATTTCCCAACCATCCCTAGTTTAGTCAGATATAATTCATGAGTCATTAAAAGAACTGTTAAGCAATAGCAAAAAAAAGTAATGGCAACCCACTATACTCGTTATTGCTTGATTCTTCTAGCTCAGCCAATGAGGTCCCCTAGCATACACTTCAGAAATCCCTTTACCAAAATTAATCCACGTTTCTTATTAGCTATCACAAGCATTGTAAAATATATTGAGATAGTTATAAGAAAAAATCCAACACATCTAAAAAGCAAACAAGCTTTCAGCAGTTTTTAAAATTTCTTTATCAACTAAAGTATCAGAAAAATTAGGTTATGAGAGAATAAAAATACACTGAACTACACTGAGTTTAGCTCAAACGTGTGCAATGTGAGATCCAAATTACATGCAACTCTTGAATTCCTTGGATATAGTTTAAAGAGAACTTGAGAAGTTACTATTAAGTTGTCATTTGCATACACCAGGGAAAACACTACATATATGATTGGATATTAATCTTATTAACTATTTTATTTTAATTAAACTGAAATGTAAGATACAGAAAAACAATTTTAGTCTTTAATCTGGCTTCATTCATTATGTTTTGGAAAACTACCCTGGCATGTTACTCAAAGAAATACTGTTGGAGATGTAAGCATTTATATCATACTTTACTGGTCATTGGATACTTGGCTTATATCCAACCCTATTATTGTATTAAGTAGTAAGCAAAATAATGACTGCTTTCCTGTTCTCAGAAAAATATAAAATCTTCTTGTAAGTTATTTTTCCACCATGAATTTTTAAGCATTCAATTAGCTATTCATTCCCAGGAACAGTTCTCTACCCTTCTGTGTACTTTTAAGTCTTATCTGGAAGATTTCGTAATGGCTTGCTACACCATACAGGCAAATATAGTCACAAAGCTTGACTTAACTATTTTTTTCCACCTAATGCTGAATGAAAGAAGCCCAAGGCTTTCTCCCAACACTGGAATTGTAAATGGGGAAGAGTGCGTACAATTCCTCAACTCCAAAGATGAATAAACACCAGAATACTTTTTCTTTAATTATACCTTTGCTTTGTACAAGTGAAACACCTTGATTCTGAGGTGGCAATGAAATTCAATTACTATAAACACTGGGATTCACAACTCACATTGTTGTAATGTGGTTGGTTTTAGCTTAGTGAGTTGCCTGAAGGAAGAAAGCTGTTTGGAAAACTTGAAAATGGTCCATTTGGTGCAAGCAAAACAAAATAGAAGTTGGCTTCACTCAATACACAACTGCTAAACTCGCAACTTAACCTTATAAACATAATTATCCCCCAATATATATATTATGGCTTAACATGATGGATTGGCTCCCACGATGTATTAAGGCAATGACTGAATTCCCAAAACAGTAAACAGTGAATTACCAAACAATATTGTGTGAACAAATCTAGCATGTTATGTGAACCCAGCCTTTATGTCTTCAATATTCTTAACTACATCCAAGCTGCAGGGAGGCAGCAGAAGTATTCAGGCTTGTCCTTAATTTCCATTCTAACAGACAGACCCCCATCCTGTTGAGCACAAAGAAAGGTATATTCAGCAATGTCACCCCAAATTTGTTGGGTCCTAATGCAGGTAGTCTCCAACAACTAATTACTGTTCCTAGAAAACTATATGGATTCATATACCTTTTCTTTTAGAGCTCAGGGTGAGATACATGGTGCTTCTTCCTCAAACCCAAAGTCACCCTGTGAATTTCCTTTGCTAAGGCTGGATTTGAACCTGCAATGCCAATCAATACATTACCTCAACACAAAGGCATTATGACTTTATAAATTATAGGCAACATACTAGATTTTATGTTGTTTAAAGGCTTCACACTGATGACAATCTTTCAATATTTCTTCATGATATTAAAATCAGAAAGAAAACAAAACATCTAAAATGATGGTGTAAATTTAAATTTAAAATGATTCCTTTTAATCTGAACTATACAAAATATATGTCCCTCATAAATGGACAGCCATAAATAAATGCAACAGCCTGTCCAATTATGGCTCTGTCTTTCTAGTCTAATTATTTCATAGTCAAAAATATTTATTACAACACACTGACTATTCGTGACAGATTTTCACAGGTGGCTTACTGTATAGGGTTCAGTCAAGTAAGGATAGGAAAGATAGTCTCATAGATACCAAGAACTAAGCCATGTAAAGCTTAAAAGTTGACCACCAGAGTCTTGAATTGGACCAAGAAGCAAACTGATAACCGAACAAATCATGGATGTTAACACTGTTCAATCAGCTACCTTGCCACAAACGTGATCGAAAGTATATATATGGAGATATGCTAATGGCATATATCAAGTTGTCTATCTAAATATATGATCCAGGGTTTAAATTTTAAGACTTTTGCTTAGAGTTTTTTTCAATCAGTGGAAATCTGGCCACTCTGAGGCTTGGAGGCACCTGATCAATGCTTACACAGCAGTTCTGTCTAGTCTGAGAACCAGTAATCCCTGCCATACCAGTTTTAGCTCTTACAGATTGGGAAATACTTGTACCACAAATCTTGGACAACTTCTAACATTTAGCATTAACAGATGAGTTGGGTGGAACAATGGCTGCCTGGAGAGAAAGCAGCTTCCTAGGGTATAGTAGGAGAGGGACTGATAGCGAAGCTGAGGATGGAACTGGAAGACATAAATTAATTTCCAGCTGTTCAATTCATACAAATGGCATTTGTTATCACTGCTTTTATGGGTAAAAATATTTATCATTTGAATTCTATCAGGAACTCAAGGGAAAATACACAGCTTTACATCTTTCCATTTCCCTCCTCCCCAAATATCAACCATCTTATGACGTAGACTGAACTGAGAGACAGAAATTGCTCTAAAGTTACTCTTCTACCAAATAGTAATTTTTTTAATTGGGGCAGTATAAAAACCATTGGTAAATAAATACTCACCCACTGAACTTTTACACCTTAGAACTGACCAACACACTAACTTCTGAACCACATGGGTTGTATGTGATGATTAAAAGATGTCAGACTGTCAAATCAGAATTTTTGTAATGTAACAGCCTTATGTTTACAAGGAGCACAGTTTCCTCAACTAGTTCTCTTTCAGATGCATTGACGCCGTCAATGCATCTGAAATGATTAGGCTGTCTAATCAACATAATTTGAAGTCCCAACATATCTGGAAGGTGCCTGGTTTAGTAAAGCTAGTATAAGGTAACAAAGACCCCAAACATTCCATATTTATTTATGTTCTACTATACATTTGAATCAAGGGTTCCACAATAAGAAAAATGGGTTTACAGTAATTAAAAAGATACATGTAAACAACTCTAATCTCACCTTGCCATGGCTTCTCTCCACCTTTCGGAAACACTTATTCAGAGAAAGATTATGCCGGACGGAGTTCTTCCAGCCAGTGGGAGCCGTAGCAAAGTATGGGAAGCGTTCCAGAATCCAGCTGTAAATTTCTTTCACTGGGAGGCTTTTATTAGGTGAATGTTCAATTGCCATGTATATAAGAAGGCTAAAAGAATATGGGGGCTTAGATGTGGCAGATTTCTTCTTGGGATTAGAATAGCAGGAGGATGAATATGTTGGCACATTATCCCCTTCAATATCATACAGAGGACTAACAACTGGAAGACCTTCACTTCCCAGGCTGAAGTTCGTTAGGAGATTACTGTTTTCATGCAGCCAGTTCAAGTTGGTGAGCTCATCGTCCGCAACTTCACTATCCACAGCTGTGGCCTTTGGTCGAGCAGCATCACCTGCCTCCGGCAAGCTTCCCATTCTTTGGATATGCCTTAGACCTGCTGCTTTCTCTACTGGTGTTTCAGCTTTCTTATCCGGAGTCATTCCTGTTACTGGACCCATTTAATCTTGTAGGCCTAGGCATAAAAATAAAACCCTAAGCATTAAAAGGTAGATTGTTAGTGGCCCTATATTTAGTTTGATCATTGGATCATCTAGTTCAGTATTATCTAGATTTTCTATTTTAATAAATCTTCGTCTATATTTTCACAAAAGACTTGACAAAAATGTAATAGACACTTGTTTACCTATTGCTTTGCTTAGTAATTTTTTCCAGATGATAAAGATGATTAAAAAGCATCTTTGTGACAAACCCTGCATTTACAGCTTTCATAGGTCTGTAAAGCAAATGAAAGTTTGTTTGTTTATTTATTTATAAAATTTAATATAACTGCCCACTTGCTCACAGCAATTCTTGGCGGCTTACAAACAGTAAAACCAAAATATATTTAAAAAATAAAAAAATAATAATACCCCCCCCCCCCCCCGCCATTCAAGTTGAAGTAAGATCATCAGCACACAGTCACAGTTTCACTTAGTGATCACTTTGTTTAATGTCTGAGTTGCCAATCCCAACTGTGGTCACTAAATGAAGACTACTTGTAATTGTATTAATGGTGAAGTAGGGGTTTATTGTTTTGAATTTGTAAGAGATAGTCAGGATTCTTGGCTTTCAAAAAATGCATTTCACAGCAAAAATACCTCACATCTTCACAAGAGTGTGGGCTGCTGCTTCTCTGCATTATTTCTGCAAACACCATGCAGCCACACAAATATTTCCATTATTTATTAAATTTATATGCCACCAATCTCACTAACAAAGCGATAAAATAACCAATATTGATTCTTCACTTGTTCACACATTCTAGAAAAGACAGCAAAGGAAAAATCTTTACAAAGTTTTCCATTCCTTAGTGCTCAGAAGATATTATTGCCACAAAAAGAAAATCAAGAGCTCATAGCACCCTCAAAGCAAAAGTTCAAAATGGCAAAATATGCTTATTCTGGTGATTATAATTATAACATTTACTACCCTAACAGCTTGAACATTCAAAGCAGACAAGCTAATTATTCCAGCAACTAGTATGAACTTGCAGGGTAGTTCAGGATTATTAAAACATTAAAACATCCATAATCTAGTCCAAAATCCACACAGGCAACATTTTTATTTAGTTAGTAATGTTTACAAACTATTTGCAAACTTTTAAATTTCCAGAAACTTTATCTTAGACAAGATAGGGGAAAAAAATCCCTATTGTATAATGCCAACCAAAATCCAATTAATGCAAGGCTAGCACACCCACAATTGAGGGTAGCATATCTGTGATTGTCACTGAGGTTTTTAGAGGGCAGAATGGCACAATTTGCCATGGCCAACTCGCGGTGAGACAACTTGCCATCCGACAGTTTAACAAATACAAAAGCTAAATTAATTTTCACAGAACCTTGGCCAATAACAATAAAATAAAGTCAAATACAAGCACTACAATAATTTTGGTGAAAACATGGTCACCAGTAATAAAAATAACTGAATGAAACGATTAATACAGGATTGAATTGTTCCATGGTGGATTGTCTCATGAGTTGGACATGAGGAGTTATCTCAGATCCCTTAGAGCAGAAGTTCCCAACCCAGGTCCATGGGAACTGGGCCACACAAGCAGTGGGTGAGTGTGCAAAGCTCCGTTTGACAACTGCCAATCTGCAGAGCTAGAAAGGTTGCGAACCACTGTTTTAGAGGATAATCATTGTTTGAGCAAAATGGAGAAAAGGAAGATTCTGTTGGAGAAAGCTCAGAAAAGATGAGATTTATTTTGAAGAACTACAGCAGAATATTGGAAAAATGGGTTTATTGTCCAGCATGTCCTTTGTTTGCTTGATGTGTTTAAATATTTATGAGATCTATAATCCATTAGAAAGCAATAAAAATGCTAAAACCACACCAAAAAATGACTGAAAGATGATATTAGTAACAATGTCGCTCTGACTTCCTGCGTTATATGTTAAAGATGTTTTTGTCAGTCTAGACCAGGGGTGGGCAAACTTTTTGACTCAGGGGCCTCATTGACTTTTTTCTTAAAAGTCCTATAAGATTTTATCCCATTATCCCAAACTCTTCTTGCTGGGGATCATGGGCACTGTAGTTAAGATGCTTTGAAAAGGCTGGGGGGAGGGAGTATCAATGCAGAAACCGCAAAATCCACCCCTTATCAGTCAGTCAGACCCTACCTTGAACAGCGATGAAGAGAGGTTTTCTCCCGAGTAAGCACCCCGGCGTAAACCCCGCGCGTTTTCACGGTTAGCATGGTCAAGAGGACGCTCTCGCAAAACTGTTCGTGGCTGGAAATGGAGCCCAGTCCACGAAGGGTGGGAATTGTGGAAATCCGAGCGCAGTTCTCTCCAACGGTCCGGATTGACAGCAAAAGATTCTTTACGGAAGGGACAAAACGAACGTGCGGAGAATGGAGGTCGTAGCGGCATATGACATCATCGGAGCTGTCACTACACACACACAAACATGTACACAAGAAATAACTAGGGTACCTTGGGGAGCCGGGCACCCCCAGATCTCCTCCCGAGCAGCCCTGCAAACACACTCCCCAGCCAGCCATGGCAAGACCATTCCCCACCCCCCCACTCCCTTTGGCGTAAATAAAGGCAAGAGGTCGGTCGTCAGCCCTGGAGAACCGAGTAACACACTTCCCCTTGCAAAAAGGGGGAGACCCAAAACACACACGCGAGCCCCGGATGCCAGATACCACCACACCGGTCCTGAATACGGCAGAAATCTGCCCGACAAGCACTGAAGCTGCCACCCACCGCCCCGGGCTCGATGCTCTCCAGGGATGGAGAGGCGGCGCGCATCCGCGCCCGGACGCCCCAAACTCTCCCTTTGCCAGCGTGGAAGGCAGGCAGCCAGCAAGGCAGGCAGACCCTGCGAGGCTCCCGAGCATGCTGCCCCATCCATCCATCAGTCCGTCCCCGCCCGTAGTCACCCGTGCCTGCCCGCTGCTCCACGGTTGCCAGCGGGGTTCCCCCGTCGCCTTGGGCGCGCACCGACTCCTCGAAGGGCAGCTGGTGAGTCTCTCTCCTTTTGGCCGGCAGGTTGATTGTTCTCCATTCCCCTCTGCTGTTGGCCACCCCGCTCAGCCGCCAAGCCGTTGTCCGGCCCAGATGTGTTGTTTCCCGGCTCCCACTTGGGTGCTCCAACCAGGCGCCCCAATCTTCGGCGGGCCAGATTAAAAAGACCAACGGGCTGGATGTGGCCCGTGGGCCGTAGTTTGCCCACCCCTGGTCTAGACTTATCTTTAGAAATTATCTTTAGAGTTTTTTTGTTTTATTTTGTTTTCTATAACTACTCTGTGACTTTGCAAAAATATATTTAAGTTGTAAATATATATATATTTAATTTTTTGTTATATTTCATTCATAAACATATAAAAATTATGTTTAAATTTTTTCATTGCCTATTTTCTTTGAACTGGGACCTATTATCTTATTTTCCATAGAAATATCAGTCTGACTTGTGCAAATTCAAATAATACAAGCATTTCATGAGATTCATTATCAGTACTAATTGACACCTACCTGTATACAGTTTATGTATTAAACTCCATAATGTATTTAGGATGCTAGTTTAGTTAGCCTTTTATAAGGTAAAGGTTCCCCTCGCACATATGTGCTAGTTGTTTCCAGCTCTAGGGGACGGTGCTCATCTCAGTTAACTGCAGATAAAAAGAAACTTCCCCTATCTTTCCAACTGTTAATAATTCTTACAACAATTACAAGCTATTAGTCTAATAATATTAAAACTGGAGGAATCTCCTAAGCTAACCCTTTGGAATTAGCTGCAATTTCCCAAAAGGCACAGGTGGGTGACATCACAAAAACATATTATGCACTCCTCTGATTTTGAGAAATCAGAAATACAACCAATGTAAGTTAAGATGACCTATCATTTTCATCTCAGAGTTAATGTTCAGCTTTCACTGGCCACATGCTTCCATTTAGAGCACTGAAGACGGATCCACATCATCTTTAATACAACAGGGAGTCATTTAAAGAACTATTGGTTGGCTTGATGGAAATGTACCATCACAATACATTCTCAACAAAAAATACTAAGTGCAGGGTATGAAGTGAAAAAAAATTGGCCATGGAAAGTGTTAACTAGCTTACGCATGCAAATACTAATAGACTAGCAGTACATGATATTGCTACTACTCACCTGCACTGTGGTTTGGCAGTATATCTGCTTCTGTTTCAAAATAAAGGTCTTAAAAGATAATACTTATGATCATATTAAACTACCAAGAAACAACAATAAATGTAGTAAATCTATCAATAACTAAATGCTGCATAACTGAGACGATGGCTAGTCACAATTTACACACCATGTTTACACAATTTCACTATGTTCAGTGCTCACCACTTTGATGTCTGCACTTTAGGTATGCTTTGCTGTCAAAATCTGACTTGCCAACAGTGAAAGGAAAGATCTTCTATAGCCAATATACACTAAGCTGCGGGAGTCCTTGGTGTTCTCTGAGCTTGGTTATTTGCTACAGACATTTCATTATTCAAATAGGTAACACCACTGGTGCCTGTTGCACTGATCAATGAATTAATATTACCCATATGGTAATGAAATTTCTGCAAGCAAACAACCAAACCCAGAGATCACCAAGGACTCCACAATTCAATCCTGAGATACATATATTCTGGTCTATTGGATGCACCAAGCTCTTAAAAAATAGAAGCCCTTCCAGAAAGATGGTTGGCTCACAAGTAAATGTAATGCACAATGCTTTTAGTGACATTAAAGTGTGAACTGAAAAAGTCTAATAAACATCAAGTTTTTTGCTAAACAAGCTCAGTATTGTTTGGACCCAGTCAAAGATGCCTCCATTTGAATGTAAGAAATTATTTTTTCTATATCAGAACACATTTTCCAATGGGAAAGATAAACTCTGTAATACACAGTTTTTCTCTAAATTAAAACACCCAAAAACCTTTACCACAAATGTATTAAACTTGTAGCTTACAGCAGAGCAACACCTTGCTTGCTGGTTAGCTG